CATTCCAGCTTACGCTTTTATGTAAATATGTTTGGCATATTTCCCATTAATCCAAGGTCACAAATTATATTTCTTATATATTTACAAAACATCTGAACATCAGTTGCATACAACTGCTGTTGCATGAATGCACCTATTCACAGCTCATGTCGCCTTTGTGTCTGCGTTTGTGTGCAAGTGTCAATATAGTCACAGAGTTAGGTCGAAGCATTAGAGGCCGATAGTGGAATTTTCCATATTTCTAAATGTTGAGAGGTTTTGAGGGGGGAGTTCCTCTAGCTTCTTGATTATTTTTTCTGAACATAATTTTCTTTCGACTCTTTTCTTTTTTTCCTCTTGTTCTAATACTGGTTTTTATACTGTAAACCTAAGCGTACTTCAGCAGCCATCTTCACAAAATGTGTTGCTAAAGATAGTGTAGGAGAGCATGTATATTGGTGAGACTATTGATCTTTAAAGACATTAAGCTTCCTAATGCTGCTGTGAAATAGGTAAAATAGTACATTAATATTATAGATGGGCGAATGGTTTCATTTGTTTTCCCTCTCAGTTTTTCCAAGTAAGGCTGTGAGTCAATAAGTACTATTACCCATAACTCCAGAGCCTATTAAATAAATATCCTTCATGCACATGTGTGTAAGATCATTATGTACGTATAACCAGCCCGTCTGTAAGGGGCGCTCAGATTCAAAGATGTATGCTATTGCACGTGAATTACAACAGACTGCTGCGCTGGCCGAAGCCATCATTGGTGATACGATGGGTGAGGGTCCATGTGAGTGCCAGTGGTTGTGCAAGCAACCAGAATTTCACTCGCGTAGGATTCCTCCTGCTCGCTCCCTGTTCTCGCCCCACCAGGCAGTCCTTGAGCAGTTCTCCCCAGCCTGATTAACAGCATCTGGAAACCCTCTGCATCAGCTTTGAGGTGACTGAATAGAGACATTGACCTCTATTCCTTCTCCTTCTCCTCTTCTTGGACGCTTTTGGTGGAGTGTGACTGCGAACGGTCCATCTTGGGCGAACTCTATGGGAGAAAAATGTGAACAAATTTTCTTTGGATCAGGAAAGGTTTGCTTTTTTTTTTTGCTCTATTTGGGCTAAAGTTCTCTCATAAGCTTTCAGTCAAATTTGAATATCTCTTAGGGATATTATTGGGCATACATCGGCATACACATTCTCAATAAAAGAGAGAAGGGGCATGAGGCAGAACTACGTGATTTTGGTTTTCCGTTAGGAATTGTACCGTGTGGTGACATACTGTGTAAATTTGAGCTGAAATTTGAAGAGAACTCATTTGGCACTTGTGGTATTTTTTTCCAGAGTCTGATTTTAATCAGCCAAATAAATGGAAGCAACTCCTCCCAAGAATCCATCATAAAACCTAGTTTCTTACTCAATGTATTTGCTTTCTGAGCTAGATCCTTGGCCAATTTTCCAATGGAAGATTGCCTTTTTTTCCCATAGGAGCAGTTCCCATAGCATAAGTGAACGCCCAAGTGAGCTGAGGCTTATGTACCAGCTCCTGTCATCAGCCAGCCCTTATGGTATAGGACAGTCTAAGGATGAAGGAGATCTGCAGAGACCCCACAGCCATTTTTGACCACCACTTGTGAATTCCTGAGCATACTCAGGATCCTGTGGTGCACACTGGACTGCACCGTGGTTTGAAACTATAGGGGGTACTGGGAGGACATGGCAATGGGGCAAATCCTGCTTCGGCGCAGCATCACAGCCTTCCTCCTGATCCTGAATGGGATCTTGGATTTTCTGTGCTGCCTATGTGAGATGCCAGCACCCTGGCAAAGGGAGCATGTGTTAAATCAATGAGCCTCACACGACGTGCTTGAGTTTGGACAGGTAGACTGTAAGGGTGGAGATGCAGTGAGTTTTCGCAAACTTTCACGTAACGGTCCCTAGCAGACCATAAACTAGTAGAAATCAGAATATCTCTTAAACTGTTGTGATTTAAGCCCAAGGTTAGTCTCATCTTCAGTGACTCTTGGGATTTTAGGAAGCAGAAAAAACTTCATCAGTGATTGAATTCTCTCTCCTTTTCCTTCACATATTCTCTCTTTCCCCAGTGGAGAGTTGCTTATGCTTCTGCTAGACCTTTGTCTTTATAGACAATGTATTAATGTGGGAATGAGCTGAATTCTCCTCATGGATCACCAAGAAAGCAAGCTCCCAATTTCAGATTGCAGTATCTTTGTAACTCTGGAGCATTTTAAGGGGCAGAAATAACAAATCTGAACCATTAGATCACAGCTGGAGTTTCTGATCTCAGCTAGGGTTTCTGGTGTAGGCCCTTACAAGTCAGACAATTACTCTTCTAGGAGAATTTTACATTTCCTTGATTTATAAGATAATGCTAGTTATTTGGAGAGAAGTAGAAAATGCAGTACTTTCTAGGTATAAAGAAGTAATGTGGTTCAGCTACTTTTGAAGAACAGCCATCCTGAATGATTTGATGACCTTCCCTGAGGTTGTTAGGACTATTACAGTCAATAATTAAACCGCCTTCAGGAGCTTCCCTCTGAGAAAGGCAAAAAAGAAGAAAATAAGAGATGAAAATGTGCTTTCATCCACCAGAACAGGACACATCTTTGGAGGTCTCAGTCATTAGCTTCACCCGTCACTTTTGGTAAAGCCACGTTATTTAAAGGTGTTTTTCTGTTCCGTCAGTTGGATCCCGAGGTGTCACACTGCTGGTGGCACCCTGGTTGGGCTACTGCTGCTGCTGCAGGTGAGGAACGTAGGAGAGATGTGATGCTCAGTTTAACCGTTGAGAGCTTTGTCCTTGCAGCCTTCTCCGTTTATTTTTCGGTGAGGGCAAGAAGGAAGAGCTGGAGTCTGCTTCTTCCCTGGCCAGCTCATGGCATGTAGCATTGGAGAGATGTGGAAGAGCCTTCACTCTTGATTAGTGAGAAAAGAGCTCATTTTGCATTAGGTCAAACTATGCCCTCATTTACGTCCCTGAGCCCCGCAGGAGTGAATGCGGGTAGCAGTAGCACGGTCTCTTAGGGTCAAGCAGATCTTTTGTCTCCTCGGGAGAGGGTGTTAGTGTATAAATCTAGGGTTTACACCCTGACCGTATTTTATTCTGCAACCAATCAAGTTAGATTTGTTTAACCAAACCCGGGCAGGCTTTGACTATGGAGAGGCGTCGTCTTGAAAGTGCAGCATTTGTAGTCAGTGTTGAGACAGTTTACTGTACGGATTGTGTTTTGCTGCGTTTCTATAAAAGAGCACAGCAAACTGTAAAACCGAAGGGCACGGTGCCGTACGGTTCCTTTCCCCGTATGGCTCAGGAAAGCAGTCGCCGATTTTATACATCTCGTTGTCAGTGGATGGCAACACGGTACCCCGGCTATATTTGTAATATATTAGTAACACTGAGGCTGCTCACTGGTAACGCTGAAGCAAATCATAAATATGCTCTGCGCACACTCTGTAACGCAAAACCCATTGATGGAGTTGAAAAGCTGGATAAGATGATGTGAATCTAATTTAAATTGAAGCCAGATCCTTAGCGTGAGATTTGTTCATTTTAGCACTTCTGATTATTTGGGAAGTCCGCGCAGTCTAGGTCTGACAAAGGTTGTAAAAATCAAAATTTGAACGCTAGGATTGTTTACTGATAAAGCTGCTGTACAATCCATCCTCACCAGTTGGTGCGACTTTTCCTTATTAGGGTTGGAGCAGTGCTGGCAACAGGTATTTTAGGGTTAAAGATTTGGCCATGATCAGAGAATACAAAGGCTGCATAGTTTTAAATTAGGCAAGATGTGTTAAGTTGAGGTTCATGCAGAGAAATTTGTTGCAAGCAACTTTCATTCTGCGCTCTCGTCTGGGTAACTGCAAGTGTGTATTTAGCTGTAGGGGTTATTAAAAGCAACTCAGTTAATGGTATTTTCCTCCCCTCTATAGAGCTCCCACATCATGTCATTTCTCTCGGTTGCATTTAATCCTCTCTTCCAGTTATACCAAATGCTCTTGAGTGAGCTCGTGTAAAGATACCTCCACCAGCAGCAAACATGTTTACGTGATGCAAGGGAGCACAAATAAACGTTGCTTAGAGTTGCATGATGGTTGAGACCGTGACGTGTGCTTTTGCTAGTGAAACAAAACATCCTTGTTCATCATATTTGGAGGCTTAATGCAGGGCTTATTAGGACAAGTTTACAAATCAGCTTCAGCTGCTTTCTTACAGATAACAGTTTAGCAGGAACTTCCAGCCTTCCCTGAGCTTAGCTCGTGCGGTAGAAATCAGCAGAAATCATTTGCATCTTTATTGTTTGCTGCTATCAGCCAAACCTAAAATATCTCCAGTTTATTGCAATTATGCTCGCAACGCCATAAGTTTTAGTTTTGGTGTTGTCACCAGAATTGCTTTGGTGTGCTACCGCCGCTTAGCACAGTGCACAAGGTAAATGGGAATGTAAAAAATTCAGCTGTTTCTCAGTAAATTCACATACTTTATTTCTGTTGAGGTACTTTCAAAATGGTTGAATGTACGCTTCTCCTCTTAAGTGCTCCCTAGTTTTGTGTCTAATCCTGCTGTATTTCAGTCAAAGGAGTCACTAGAAAATTGCAATCAGTTAAAAATAGGGCAAGCTACAACCGTTCTCCTTCGCTCTGAGCCCTGAGTGCTTTTCCCAGTGTTCAGAATTCACTAAGGTTAAAATCGAAGTAAAAGAAAATAGTCTGCTGGAAACAGCAGCTCTCGGTAAAGCTTATTTACCCAAAGAGTTTAAATTAAGTTGGTGAACACAGTGATGGCGAGAATAAGAATCACTTATTTCAAATCTGTGGCAAGGTTGCCTTTAACTTTTTAAAAAGCTTTGTGGTAGGAGGGAGGTCAAATAGGAACATTTGGGCTGGATGAGGACTTTTCAGTTAAACAAAAAAACAATGTTTGCTTGCGGGAGAAGTGGGAGGAAGAGAAAGGAGAAGGGGCTATAGCAGCTCTCTACAGCGTGTGTCCCCGGCTCTTTCCGCAGTCCCCTGCTTGCCGTGTGTTTTGCTGCCTCCTGTGGAGTCCCGGGAATCGCCCTGCTGACTTTGGGAGTGAACCCGCTCACCGGGGCCCTGGGCGCCTTCAACATTTTCCTCTACACGTGTTGCTACACGCCGATGAAGCGGATGAGCATCGCCAACACGTGGGTGGGAGCCGTGGTCGGTGCCATCCCCCCCGTCATGGGGTGGACCGCGGCTACTGGTAGTCTCGATGCTGGTAAGTAAAAATTCCAGATTTACATCTTGGGGGGAGAGTGGTTGTCTGTGTTTGGGTATCTGAAAATACCTTCATAAAAGGCAGTAACTGATGTTTTCTCGTAAGCCTAGTTCTTTCTGATCCAGTGTTGCTTCAAAAACCAACGTATTCCACTGTTTGCAGTGCCAAACTCGCTGTTACAGCACTGTGCCGGAAGGATGGAGGAAGTAAATCATCTTACCTTTGGGGGCATTTTAGGGACAAAGACGTCAGCTGATAGAAGAGTATGGTCCTACTGCATACGTGTTTAGGTCCTCTGAAAAAAAATCTAAAAGGAAAACACTATCTTAGCAAGTGGGGTTCACGTGGAAGAAAATGGTAAGCAATTTAAGGATTAAAAACATGTCAAGTTAGATCTGACTTCGAGATGGGAGCTTTGAGCAGGAAGATGCCCAGATGTGTTTACTACTGTCTTTCCACATGCCAGAAAATATTCTAAGATGAATTGATTGGTGTATTTCTTAATTGCACGCTTTTAAACTCTAAGCTGTAAATGTTCCTTCCCCCCCTCCTCGAAAAGCAGACGGAGATTTCTATTTTAGTAACTGTGAACTGCTTTTACATCCCTCATAAAACTCTGATCTCTTCAACAGCTAAACTCTGACACAATTAGAGCTTGTTTTTCCTGCCAGCTAGAAACTGAAGAATCAAAGTAACTCTGCGGAGTTATATTCCAGAGAAACTCATGAAGTTCAGTTAACAGGTCTGTTAAGAATTTTTTTTAGCGCACGCTCGTCCCACAATGTGGCATATTTAAGACTTGAATAATGCTCCCAGCAACAAGCCTTTTAGACAGCAGCTATCAGAACCTGTGCAAAATCCATAGCACACCATTCTTCATTTACACTGCTCACCTCCTATAAAAGCAGGACTGAACTGGCTGTGCACACGCGTTCTGATGTAGATCTAATGCAGAGCTAGGATGAAGGGGACTTTTGGGGTTTTTTTTGTTTGTTTTTTGTTTTAATTGTGTGCGTTGCTCCTATACAAACTGTGTTTGTTTATGTATTTGGAAGGTTTTTTTTAATATTTAGACATATATGGGTTGTATGTATATGGATAGTGTCTCACGTTAAGGAGTGCGTATCAGACCTCATTGGAATCTCTTTGATTCTAAAGAGAAGAGAATGAATTAAAAGCACAGAATAAATGTGTGTTTGTAAGAACTCTGTCATTCTGGCTGCCGTTGCTTAGACCTTGAATCTTACGGTGTTTAGGAATTTCTGTGTTGGCTTCAGCACCTTATTGCCCCGGCGGTGCTGAAAGATGACTCTCCCGTGCTCTTGCTGTAGGTGCCGTTTCATAAGCAGGGGAGAGACCTAAACTGCTGCAGTAAACCGCAGCAGTGAAGTAATAAGGTCTTCCTATATAATTTGCAACTGAGTTTGCACATGTTCCTTTCTGCCAGCTCTGCTGTAGAGGGGATAATCCTGGGTGATTGATGCAGGTAGTGGAAGAGAGTAGGTTTTCCCAGAACGTGATGATCTGCACTGGTGCTTAACCTGATGTCGTATTGTCTGTTCTGGATAGCTAGAACTTTCTACAGTCATCTCCCAGTCTGTATCAATAAAGCCAGGTAGCTTATTTAGTAGTGAAAGAAATGTTACTGAGCTAATGCTAGTCTTTATAGTGAAGCACGCTTGGGAGAATCTTGAAAATGGTGGCCTGAACCTAGGATTGCAGTGCATTGCAGCATTTAAAAAAAAAAAAAGAAGAAGAAGAAGAAGAAGAAAGCAACTGCATAGTCAGCCAGGATTTTCAGTGTTAAGCATTCTGCTACTATGAAGAAAGAGTTCAGCACCTTGCAGAATTAGACCCTTTCTGAATATGAGTATGCATACATATACGTACATGCACAACAGGGTAGACCTGCACCCCTTCTCTTACCTGCATGCCTGGAGTTGTTGAGCTCATTAATAATGTTCAATTAGCTTGGAGACTTAACCTAGTTCTTAGGTAGAGGTGTGAAACTACATTTGCACCTCGTTTAAAAAAAGATTGATTATTCCACTTAGGAGCAAGGAGGAATGTGAAGGAAGGTAGTCAGAAAAGTTATGTTCTCATTAGGTTCATTAGGTTCTCAAAGAAGGGTCTCACAGCTTAACTGGTGGGTTTTGAGTTTACATTTTATTGTGGATTTTGTCTCCTTGTAATCTTACAGTAGTCACATTGTTGTACGTTTCTGGTTTTAGGGAAAATAATCTTTAAGTGTAGACCTTTAATTACCGTTTGGGGGATAACCAAGTGTTATACCGTAGCGTATACCCTAGGAGAGCCATTTCTGCAGTCTTCTGTGTATCAGAGGTTCAATAACATCCCATGGCGAGATTCATAAAAAGCGTTGTGAGATGCTATTGGTCATTTGATATAATCGAAGATGAGTCCTAGTTTTCTATTCTGGAGCTAAAGCAAAGTGTCTCAGATCTGAGCCACCTTGTTTTTGTTCGTCTTTGTTCTACTTATAACTTTCTTATTTCAGGGGTTAATATCTTGACAGCTTCTAGCACAAGATACAAGTATTGCATGTTCCAGATAAAAACCTGTGACTCTTCTGTTTCTAGTGATGCTAGTACTTGCCTATATTTATTATATTATACATGTTTTGCAGATCTTACGGTGGTTCCCAGCAATGGTTACTTCCATTTCTGGCCCTAATAGCTCTTTATTTATATGCTCTTAAGCCTGATTGAGCTTCCTACCACTAGCCCTGGATTTTGCGCCAATGTACTTTAGGGAAAACATCACATTTCAAAAGAGAAAGATAACGTTATCTCTGGGAAGATGTGGAATTCTTTGTTGTGGTTTGGGGTGGGTTTTTTTGTTTTTTTTTTAACAGCAGCTGTTTTAAACCGATGAAAGATTTGGAATGTTAACATTTCCTCGCTGGGGGAGCCGTGTGCAGGTGAGATGGTCAAAGGTGCGTGATAAGTGTAATTTATCACATGGATATCACTACCACGTATCTGGGGTATTTATGCAGGGCTTAACTGCCGGGCTGTGATTCGCAGTAACACGTTTGCTTCCTTGAAAGCAGATTTCATCGTTCCTTTGTAGTACTATTTATTTCCAGAGGTATTTGTTTTTCTAGGAAAGCTAGATGCCCTCAAATTGTTTCTTCTGATTTTATGAAGGAAGGGCTAGCAGGAAACTAATGAAATTCACTTAAAGCCTTAAGTGATAGTTTAAAGACAGAGGAGAAAGAGCAAAAGCTGAGCGGAGTCTGCTTTTTTGTATGAGATTTTCCTTCTGCGCAGGAGCCACATTCAGCAGCCCGGTCCGTGACACAGCGCTACCGAGCCCGTGCGTCTCCTCTAGCACATACATCTTTAGGAAGTAACAGAGCTATTTATTTTGGCATGCAAGAGCACATACTTACCCATGCTTTAAATTACACTTGTGCTGCTGGCCTTTCTCTTTAGCCTAGTGCTGCCGCTTGCTTGTTAGGAACGTTTTTTGTCCATTTTAACTCATCATTTCTAGTTAGCAAGCCAAACTGAAACCGCTGTAAACGCTTCCAAGCGCCACAGCCCGTATTTTGCCGCGTGCATTTTGCGCTTCTTCCCTTGACCTTTGTGTGCTCATGCACCGAAGGCTTGATCCCAACCAACGCGCTGCGTCAGTGTCGCAGAGCGGAGTAATTCAGCGCCGTCGTGTTCATGTAAACCACCCAGTTAGATAGAAGTGACAAGCAGGGGTCCTCTACATAATGTGCTTATCAGTTAAGGGGATTTATTCTGAGTAGGTGGCGGTGGCATGGCAGATAACAGCCTCGCCGGTAGAGCAGACGTTACAGCGCCGTGGTGGCCCGGAGCCCTAGGTATTACTGCACCAAAGGATGTTTATCTCGAGAGACTATTTAGTTTATCTCAGATGCTCCACTTCTGGTCTCGCTTTCCTGAAAGACATCTTGTACTGATTTTCATTCATTTTCAGAAATTTAAATAATTCCTGGGGCTACGGAATTTGTAGACTTGAGTATCCAGTGTAATCATGGGGAGGCTGATTTTTAAATTGCCTTTGCTTTGTAATTCAAATTGTGTTGTGTGGCAGACATTAATTATGTCAGCCAACGTCTATTTACAAATGGGGATTTAAAAATGGGCAGTTCTCATCGGCTAGTGACGTTTAGCAGATGGATGGTTTTAGTAACAAAAAAGCAGAGAACAGGGGAGAAGGGGGGGGTCCGTGGCCCAACCTGTCGACTGCTGGAGTCTCTTGCACCTTCCCCGATGCAGCGCTTGTCTGCCAGAAGGAAGGAGAGCGAAGCAGCAGCTTCATTGCACGCGCAACGAGCTTGGGGACCTTTGCGTTCGGCCCCTTCTCGTTAGGCGGCTGGAGTTTCAAAAGCCCCTTGAGGAGCGTGCGGGGCCGCGGCGGGAGCCCGGCCGGCCCGGAGAGGAGGCAGGGGAGGCTCCGGCTACAAACCCCCTCTAACCCAAGCGAGTTTTCAGGGCGTCGCTTCTCCTCGGACGACAGAATTTGCGGTCTGCTGGTGAGAGAGCCGAGATGTGAACGTCCCTGACGTGTGAGAGTTGGAAGCGGGAGGCCCAGCAGCGTGTTTTGTGCGGGTGAAAACTGAGGCAGGGGGGACAATACGAATAAGCAGCTGTGCTAAATTTAGGACGGAAGTTGACGGGCTTTTTTTCCCTTTTTTTTCCCCCACCCTTTCCATCTTCACAGCAGACAAGAAGACGTGGCGGCTCCACCGCTGGGGCACCTTGGGGGGCTGCTGAAAGACGAATCCGCGCTCAAATCACGCGCCGCGCACGGCCGCTCGAAC